TGACAGCAGTTGAGATGAAACCGGTATATTGCATGTGTATGTACCAGAAATAGAACCATCAAAAGGGTAATGTGTTTATTGCTACTGAACGATAATAAATCTAGTTGTCACGGTTTACCCCAGACCGGCAGCTCACTGCCCGTCAATATGGTTGCCTGTCGACATACACATATAGACATAAATGTCTATTTCAATAAAACATAACGATTGTCCATTCCTGAGCCTGCCTTTTAAATGTCAGAACTTCATCTTCTTAAGCACATCAGATGTTGGTCGGGGAAAACCAGCGCTCTGACTATTGCTTTCGCCGTTATTCTCCGGCAAGCAAAGGACGGTCGTTCCATTAACACACAACCAATTATCATGTATCGACCATATACGTGTGTGTCCGTATTGAAGGGTATGGCATACTCCTATGTGGTTTGTATAGGGACGGTCTGCCGTCTTTGTCGCTTCTAAGTCTGTCCCAAGGGTTGTTTTTGTTTTGTTGTCGCCGACCGGTCTATCCATTATGCTAAAACCTCTATAGAAATGTCCAGCCATTCCATTCGTTATTGCCGTTCACGAGGGATAGTGCCTATAGCCGTTACACCAATGAAAACTATGGCGACATTAGTGCTATAGTTACCGACTAGACAAGCTGAGTGGGAGTTTGTCAGCTCCATCCTCGTCGAAAAGAGCAACGCTCTTGGGAGAAAGCAAAGACATGTAGCAGCAATGTCTTCGTTCGATGCAATGAAGGAAAGCATACGCATTATGGACAGCAACAGCAGCAGCAGCAGCAGCTATCCCTCAAGGCTTTCGTCGCTTTCCGTCGCACCAAAGTCAATGCATGTATAGTTTACTTTCTACGATTTGTTCAAATCGAAATTGGTTGTAGCGATCTCTCCTTTTGTCTAGTACGCGGTCATTACCGCCGTTTTTTCATGGACAACAAGCCAAACGCAACCCCCGCGGTATCGTGACCGAAGCGATAGAGGGAATGACCCAGACTACCTCGTTTACCCTAGTCATTATATATACTACGACCGCTGCTATTGATGTCATCGTTTGCCACCAGAATGAAGCATGTAAGTAAACGGAATAATTTGGTTGGCCAAGGGTTGCTTTTGTCCTGTTTTCTTGCGCTGTGTTTAGATGCGCTGGCGATTGTAGCTTGACGATGGCGACAACGACGTCGGGGCTTTTCGGAAGATTTTGACCTTTCGTTCGGCAGAGTGCGCTGCCATAATTGTAATTCTATAGTCATCGGTTTACCGCAACCGCAGGCTACCGCTACCGCATTGCTTCAACGAACAACAAGCACGTCGCGTCAACAGATGTCGTTCTATGCTGGAAGTCCTTGCTGCAGAGTTCAAAAGCAAGTGGAGTTCCTCTCAGCATCATTGAATCAGACTCTAAGCCCGGTCTATCTTTGAGGTTTGGCTAGCGGCCAGCAATGTTGCTAATTCAGACGTCGTCAACTCTTCTTCGTCTTGATCTTCTTGCACAGCGCTTTTTAGCAGGCGTGCCCGTGTGCATTGCTTACTCTCTTCACGAGTGCTTCTGCTGCTACGGCTGCAGGTTTCAGCGCAACCGATACAAACACAACAGCAGCTAGAGTAACCGCAGTCGCCTTTGCCACGTAAATCCATGCAACCGACGTACCCTTTCATAGCATGCTATTTGTGTCATTCATGGGTCCTGGATTAATCAGGCTCGACTATTGCCGTTATATAATTGCTGTTTATTAGATCGCTAGGCCTGCTCTGCCGTTTCTTCTAGCTTGTTTGTTCACTCCTGGATTGGATTCACGCAACTCATCTCATACGGCAAACGCTCGACGTACGTTCCAGCATGGCACGGCATGCACCCACCATCAACAGGCCGTTAGCAACATAACGTTACTTCAGTGTATCCGTACTTCAAGACAGACCCTAAGTGTTTCGTATCGCTGGCGTAAACGCACCGTCGCAGAAGGATTTCTTTCGATGCATATTTGGAAATAGTATGTTATTTTAGGGCCGTTATTCAATTCGAATCGGAAAAAAACTGACCGCGAAAAAAAAATACGCTCTATAAAGATTAGCCTTTTCTGGCTTTGCCTAATGAGACAACAGGACAAAAAAAATCACTGAACAAATCTTATTACGTTTTTTTAATGATTTGCGAAAACTTGGTGCAGGTTTTTGTCGATACATATGTGGCATATTACATGTAATAACTGAAAATTATAGAAAATTTTCCTAAATGAAATATTTTACCAGCAAATTAACATTTCGTAGGGGGGTTATAATTAAATAGACGAGTTTTAAATTAACTAGAAAGCTTCCATCTCCATAATAAAAGAAAGGACATCAGTTAGAGATGAATGGAGTAATCGGTAATCGCTCCATGTTCCTCTTCACTGTAACGTCATCCAGGCGATCCATTTCGCCGTTCGTTCATTATCTTTGCTACGTTCTGTCAGATGTGACTACGTTTACTGGCTTGTTAATTCATTTAATGCAGTTTGTTATGACGATGCTTGAAGAATATGCGCATTTGTACATCGCGAATGAAGATGGGTTTCTGAATCAGGGTTACTTTTCATTTCTTGCTCCCTTTCAAAATAATATTCATATCATTCATAATATGTGTCAGCGTGGCCGCTCTGATCTAAATGATTTTCGGCCTAAGTCTGACTCCGTTTTCGATTCGGGTGCATGAAGTCCCATGAACAAAAACTTCCAAAGGTACGGTCTAGAAAGCAGAGTTCGCAGATCAGCACAAGAAAGGAGCATACAAATATCGATATTTCTCTTCAAAAGAGCGTTTTTAAATAATGTGGATACCTGAAAAAAGTTTCTCCCGAATAAATTTGATGGCAGTGAATTGCTTATCGAAAAGAATTTAACAAAACTTAAATTTAGAACCCCTTTTACAAGCGTCTGCTTCGAGGAATCAAACACGAATTTCAAATACAGGTAAGCTTTTCGAATTAAGCAAGCTTACTAATGCTTCAATAAATTATTACTTTTCTCGTTACCTTACTCCTATTCTGACAAATAAAACGAGATCGAAGCAGTTAATCAAGTTAAAAGAACAACATAGACAGATAGTAGATAGATAGGTAGATATGATAGAAAGATAGATAGGTAGATATGATAGATAGATAGATAGGTAGATATGATAGATAGATAAATATCGGTAGATAGAGAGATACCGATGGACAGGTAGGTAGATAGATATATAGGTATCGATAGGCAGACAAATATCGGTAGATAAATAGATACCGATAGATAGATATCGACAGCTATCGATAGATAGATATCGATAGACAGATAAATATCGGTAGGTAGATACCGATAGATAGATAGATAGATATCGACAGATATGGATAGATAGATAGATAGATAGATAGATAGATAGATAGATAGATAGATAGATAGATAGATAGATAGATAGATAGATAGATAGATAGGTGTAGATAGATAGATAGATAGATAGATAGTGATAGATAGATAGATAGATAGATAGATAGGTGTAGATAGATAGATAGATAGATAGATAGGTATAGATAGATAGATAGATAGATAGATAGATAGATAGATAGATAGATAGATTAGAAGATAGAAAGATAAATTGGAAGGTTAATAGAATAGATAGATAGATAGATAGATAGATAGATAGATAGATAGATAGATAGATAGATAGATAGATAGATAGATAGATAGATAGATAGATAGATAGATAGATAGATAGATAGATAGATAGATAGATAGATAGATAGATAGATAGATAGATAGATAGATAGATAGATAGATAGATAGATAGATAGATAGATAGATAGATAGATAGATAGATAGATAGATAGATAGATAGATAGATAGATAGATAGATAGATAGATAGATAGATAGATAGATAGATAGATAGATAGATAGATAGATAGATAGATAGATAGATAGATAGATAGATAGATAGATAGATAGATAGATAGATAGATAGATAGATAGATAGATAGATAGATAGATAGATAGATAGATAGATAGATAGATAGATAGATAGATAGATAGATAGATAGATAGATAGATAGATAGATAGATAGATAGATAGATAGATAGATAGATAGATAGATAGATAGATAGATAGATAGATAGATAGATAGATAGATAGATAGATAGATAGATAGATAGATAGATAGATAGATAGATAGATAGATAGATAGATAGATAGATAGATAGATAGATAGATAGATAGATAGATAGATAGATAGATAGATAGATAGATAGATAGATAGATAGATAGATAGATAGATAGATAGATAGATAGATAGATAGATAGATAGATAGATAGATAGATAGATAGATAGATAGATAGATAGATAGATAGATAGATAGATAGATAGATAGATAGATAGATAGATAGATAGATAGATAGATAGATAGATAGATAGATAGATAGATAGATAGATAGATAGATAGATAGATAGATAGATAGATAGATAGATAGATAGATAGATAGATAGATAGATAGATAGATAGATAGATAGATAGATAGATAGATAGATAGATAGATAGATAGATAGATAGATAGATAGATAGATAGATAGATAGATAGATAGATAGATAGATAGATAGATAGATAGATAGATAGATAGATAGATAGATAGTAGATAGATAGATAGATAGATAGATAGATAGATATCGATGGATACACAGATAGATAGATAGATAGATATCGATGGATACACAGATAGATAGATAGATAGATATCGATGGATAGATAGATAGATAGATAGATATCGATGGATACACAGATAGATAGATAAATATCGATCGATACACAGATAGATAGATAGATAGATAGATAGATAGATATCGATCGATACACAGATAGATAGATAGATAGATAGATAGATAGATATCGATCGATACCTCGGTTCGATAGCTTATGCATAACTATATTGTCATACCTCTCCTTTAATTGAATCAACGGTGCGCTTAATAGAAATAAGACCCAGCTGCGACACGTACGCTGATTTTTATTATCATTGTTGTTATAAGAAGAGTGAAAGCCAGCCGGTATTATCGCGACTGGTAGGAAGTGTCCCGCCAGTAATAACCGGCCATGAACTCAGCCCCCCTAAGCCATTGCTGACGACGACGACGCCAGCAAGAACAATCGCTCCGCAAAACGCCGATAGTGGAATAACGATTCTTTCTACAGCAGAACGCCAACCGAAACAAAGATAGATCTTGATCGTGTTTCTCAGCTGGCAACAGTCGCGATGGAACGCGACAAGCCACATCGCTGTCGTAATAACAATTATATCACTGCCACCCTACTTCCATTACTGTTATCCCAGCAGTGAAAGTTAACTTTTGGCTATTTTTTATTTAGCTTTAATCAGAGGTAGGAAATCGGCAGCATTCGAAGCAGAGGCAAAAACACCGTCATCAATTTAGAAATTAATGGCTGTTACCTGCTTTGAACGAGGAATACATTATCAGCGGAATACACTACGCGAGTGACATCTATGTGTATGCGCGTGAGTTGCTTTGGAACCCGTCTCTCATTGAGGGAACGATGGAAATTGAAAATGCCAACGATCGATTTACAAGCTCTCACAAGCCTTAAATGAATCCGTTTATATCGGTTGGACTGAATGGTGCAGGAACATTCTCGAAAACTATGAACTTGTGTTGTAGTAATCTGTTTATAGTTCGTTTGGCGACTAATTATGAAAGCAGTATCGAGAGGCAACGGCGAAGCAGGCAAACACGAATTGCAATGGGACATTATAATTAAGCAATCTCTTTTTCTGCTGATAACAGTACCGCCCTGAGGCCTATTGTCTTGTCGGTCCCAACTGCACGGTGGGGGCATTGTGCCACTGTAGATTAAAGAGATCTGGTAATAAACACACGAGGTGTGGTACTGGCGCGAAATGAGCAAGCAACAAACCTTGCTATCACAAAAGCGATTAGACTATTGTTTAGGACAGGATTTAATCATCACAGTTTTTTGCGCTTTATCAGCGGCCAAAATCATTTAGGTTGCAGATAACTACCTTTGGCTACAAACAAAATCACCTTCTGACTTTTTATAATTGTTTCATGTGAAGCAATACGTATCAATGCGATGCGAAACATCGGGAAGTTAGCACGTAATTTCAGACAAACAGGGAAACATTTGGCATTTAATCGATAGCATTCTGGATTCAGCCGGTCACTTATGATTAATGTAGTATGACGAAGGCGACTGATTAAAAGCTTCTTTCTTCTGCAGAGTTGTTACTGTGGCTCGTTATCGCTGTTCGCTTCATACGTGGCTTCTTGACTTCCTTCAGTCCTCAACCTCATCTGCAGCGACTTCAACATACGTGCTCAGTAGCAGCAAGGCTGCATTTTTAGCTGTCGCACGGTATCGCGTGCTACCGTTAGTTTTTCTTTTCGTAGTTTTACTTTCACTTGGTATCTTCAACGGCATTTCAAATGGTATTCAACGGTTTTTCATTCGACCACTGATCACCTGCTCGTCTCGCGGCTGTGTTCTAATCCCTCTCTGGTGTGATAATTCGGAGCTTTCTCTTCGAGCTCTTTCCTAGACAGATAGAAGTCTATGCTTTTTTCTTCGGCTAGCACACTGCATTAAGCAGAAGGCAGAAACTGCGACGATTCTAACTAACCCGCGCCCTGAACGACAACAGAAAGATCACGCTTCCCTAACCTCATCGCTGCCGTTCTCTCGTACATACGCTGTCGCTGAACGTACAAATGACCTAGAGGTCATCGTGTTTTACTATGGTATTGTCTCCTCTTTGTTCTCGATCAGCTGCCGGCCGCAGGCCCCTAAGGCCACGTAAACAACTTTACCGGCAATAAGAACAAACAGTAGCGATTCACAAACGCTTGTACTAACAGTGCTGCCAACAGTGACGAGGTGTGATTTTATTTATTTTACTTTGACTGCGATCAATGCCACTCAAAAATACGGAAGGGAAGCATTGGTCGACGCTAGATCGGCAGGCAGGACCTACTGTACACGCTCAGATTACACGACAACAACAGCAGCAGACGCCCCGCTGGAACAACAAAAGCCAACTTTATCGGACCATGGATTGAACGCTAAGAATTTTACTGCTCTATCTGTCATACAACGCCAGCAGCAACACTTGCCAGGCATACGACGTCACCATTTTCCCTGTACTATTCTTGGGACGTTCGACGACCAAATCTCAACAACGTATGTGTGCGCATATATAGGAATTGGAGAACACGTATAGGGGCAACATGATGTTATATGGCGATGTGCAAGTGAAAATTTCGGTTTATCGACCGCTCGACGCCGCCATCAATGGATAGAACCAAACTGTCATCCGGCGTGTTCATTTACGATCTTTACCGAAAAAAGATAGGAGTTGTATTTTGCTTCGTGGCGAAATTATAGTCAACACGGGTACGTACTGGGAGATATTCTTTTAGCGGTGCAAAAGATTTATTTGATCTCGTATCCATTCATAAATGACGAGATTTTATAGCATATCGATGCTTCCCTACGTTTTCAGCGAACCTTCGGGAAAAAGCACTGCCCGAACTCAGAGTTGAATGCCATTTGGTGTAGTTCGCGGATACGAGACGATATGTTATTGGGGCGGGTCGTTTCGTTCATCTCAGACCGATCATTTTTCCACGAACCTTGACGAGAAGAAATAAAAAGCGGCTCTTTATTGAATATTATCAAACCAATTACAAGATTTAACGCGTTGACCTGGAATCATTGGATAGAACAATTGAATATATTTTCTTATTATTTTTTTCAAAGTACAATGGTTAACTTCAGTGATAAGTTGGTGAGTTACTTCGCTTGCTACGATAAGGTTCGTGCAATCTCACAGGCAATATGACGGTTAGACGTAGGTGTTAGGCCTCCGTATTTCGTACCGAGTTCAAACAAACAGTGAATTATTGAATTAGCATCCTATTGACGCCACTGCTCTATATATATATATATATATAAAGACCAATTTTTACATCTTAATTACCGTCAAAATGATCATTACCCACAGTACGAATCATGGCAGAAACGCAAGCCGTTGGCGTTTGCCGGTGTTCATTGAATCATCGTTATTGCTATTAATATTCAGTCATAGTTTCCCATACGAGACAATACACCAGTTTAATTTCGTCTTTCGTAGTCTATGGCCATTTCATTTTTAATTCGTTCACTTACCCCTTCGAAACGTGGTTACATAGTTAACGTTTAGCCCTTGCCTACGCACCGCTCGTGCGCGTTTGTGTTTGTCCGAAAAAGAAATCGATGGCCAGTTTTGTCTATGTAGATATGAGGCCTGGCGGTCACTTCGATGATTCCGTGTAATAGCTAATAGCTTAAAGAGGTCCAAAATACAAGGTAGCATGAAGACTATACGGCAACAGTGACAAGCAACAAACATCAACTGGAAGCGTTGAGCCTATGAGTAATCACGCGGCCAACCAGAGGTAGTACAGCCCCACGAGGGATCGACGCTTCTGCTACGCGCGGTGGCTGATTGCAGACCATCTTCATACACGAGCAGCAGCAACGGTGACGACACAACTACAATACTTTCTGTATGCGTATAATGACAGATGGCCGGCAGTAGTGTCTTAACGCCGGCTACAAATATGGCTGTTGGAAGAAGGACGCTAGTGGCCCGTAGTGATGTTATGACAGTTGTTGTGTCGTCTGTGCGAAGCAGCCCCGTAGCTCCGCTCCGATGTACGGCGGCAAGAGTGACCCACTAAGCCAGAGCCCGGGGCCATCCTCAGCGAGACATAACGCAGCGGAAAAACGCCAACTAGACGGAGACGGATAGAGCAATACAAAAAAGAGAGCCGAACGCCAGCCATTACCAGTAACATGGCACCGACAGAACTCACATCAATAGTAGCGGCAGCAGCTGCGGCGGAGGCAAGACATAGATAGCGTCCGACATTGACTGTTCCATGTTCCATGCAATGAGGCAGCAAGACGGAACGGATGAGAAAACAGCAGTAGCGGGATGAACGTATCGCACCTTCCTGCTGCTGTTGCCGCCGTAACAGCGTTCGTTAGCGCCGCGTTGACGCGAAAGAGATTTGCAGACTGCGGCCGTATCCAGCTACGTTTACATCGATAAGGAGTCAGGAAAATAACAGGATGGAAGGCAGCGTTTGACACCATCAAAGCTGTTAGCTGACAATGAGGATAGTGATCTAATTTTGTCTGTTTAGCCTATCCACAGCGCACACGGTATGAATGGATAAAGTAATTAATAAACGAGAGAGCAATAGAACTAGATTCAAGTTTATGGCGTCATTAGCGGCGGTAGCGACGCCAGCAGATGTGCTCAGTGTATTTTGGCTGTACTATAATGTAGTATCATTTTCTGGGTATACGTACACCAGCGTCGGTACAGGTCGGCTTTGAAGCAACGTTAAATTAAATCTGATCGAGCTATAGCTATTTACGATGAAGAAACGGAAAATAGGTTCGTAGCAATTGTGATGCGCTCTAAAACAATATTGGATTGGCTTATATATATATATATATATATATATATATATATATATATAAGTACTGTAGTGATGAAGGAAATAACATAAGTGGTCTATTCTAGTTGGGTATTATGTGCTCGGTGAACGGATTTGGTGCTTGATGTTCAGGTGTCTGGTATTAGTTTGTCTGTCTAGTGCGTAGTAGCAGTGCCGTTAGGCCATAAATAGGCTTTAAACGCCGTTAGATCCTAAATGTGATCGTAGCTTAATGGGGTGCGTACTTTAAGCCAGCTGCCGTTTGCCTTCCTTGAACACCCGAAAGAGACATACATCTGCTTAAAATGGGCAAAGCCCATTTAAACATGTGCTGTGTGCGCGAGTCGCGAGAAACGAACGAAATCGAATATGCGGTTTTTATACGTGCCCCTCTCCGGCGTACGCTGAAGGATTTGATACGAGCAAGGCCGCAGTGGCCGACAGTTAAAGGCTAATGGAAGGTATGATAAGATTAACATTACGATGAACCATGGCATCAACCCTTCTCGAGGCCCTCATAAGCAAAGCAAATAAGTAGAAAGGAAACAACTCGCTGAAGCTGAGGCAGACATAAAGAAGCAAAAAATGTCACCACTTTTTCTTCGACCCTCCTTTTTTTGACGTGCGGTACTAAGTTACAAGGCATCACTTCAGATGGGTCTGGCTGGGTTTATCTGGGTTTTCCTCAAACAGACCCATGAAGCTGCATAGCAATAATATGCTAGAGTAGCCAAATGCCTAAGGCTAAAATTTGGGCCAGCGGTGGCCGCATATTCATGGTTATCATAGTAATACGCTCAAGAAGATGCGCATTATCCACCCAAAGCATGTTACCTTCTATATCCGGTCCCCCTTTAAGACCCCGAAATGATGCGGAAGCTAGAGCAGAACTTCCATATAAAGTTACAGCATGGGATTGTGGTCTAGTGGGTATTCCTTCCCTATTTCGGGGGAAATGCTTGGGCCTCGGGTAGGTGTACTACCCTGGGAAGCAGCCTGCCCGATCCAGACAGTGAGTCAATAAATGTACCAATGATTCCATAAACAAAAGCAAGCACTCTACAGTGATCAATTACATAACCAGCTTGTGAAACCAAAGTCATTCTTATACTCAGACCATATTGTCATCATAGTGGAAGTACCTACATTGTGGTTAAAGTAACTACCTCATGTATAAATCCCGCTCTTAAAAAAATATTTAACATTTTATTTTATTAATAGCTAACACGCGGGGCTCCGGTTGCCTGCAATAAAAATAACAATCTAAGGAGAGCATCTTGTAGTACTGAAAATAAGATCCAGTTATTATAAATTCTCACAGCAAGCTTAATAACTGAGCATGAGAAACTCAAACTCTAAGTTTGGCCAATTCTCGTGGATTACAACTGAGCAATCATTAGGGTTTGAGCCGTCTCGAAGTCGATATGGTGAAGTAAATTATAAACAACATTTTCGATTAAGGGTTACTCTCAGATTAAGGTGAGCGTGACTTCAGCAGCAGTAAACAAGGTTTCCCTGCTATTAGCAGAACACATCAAGACCCAATTTTATAATAAATATATACTTCAATCATTTGTACACTAATTCACCTGTTGCTTCGCCCAGGTAGGGCTCGAAGCTATCCGAACGAATTTCAGGCTTTTTGTCAACTATCGTTGTAAGGCATATTCCATATTATCAACTTCTGCGAAAAGATATATGGGTTGTTTCTGTGGCCGCTGCTGCAATGCGTATGACCTACTTTAGTTTTGATTGAAACAATAAGCTGTTCATCTCTATGACTTTCGACTGTTCGACTTAGTAAGCCCTGCAGTCGAATGTCCACTTTCAGCAAAGAGCTTGCATCGCGTCCCTCTTTCAAACTGTGGCATCTTACTACATGCTGTCTGTTTATACAAGTCTGAGAAACTCTACTGCTGATGTTCCCTCGGGCAAAAATAAAGTGTCTCAACTAACGTGTATAGAATACTGCTACATTTATCCCTTCCTAGCTACCTATATGATGGCTGTCTTGAAATTGGCTATGTTTAACATCAGACTTAGGTAGACGATAGCAATTAGAAGACGGCTGATCCGCACCTTCAGCTTGATTGATTTTGCGGAACAGTTGGGTCTTCAGAACGTCGACGGCAGTGGTCGTATCACACCTGATTTTGTGTTCGCGTTTGTAGAACTGTTGGACACGTTAGATTGAAATTCGCAGTACATTTAATGTAGTCTATAACAGGAAGAGTAGGTTTTCGAGAAAACAAACACGTTGGCACTGTGACAGTTCAGAGGCAAGGGCAAGCATCGAACAAATCGTAAACAAAAAAACCCAATTCTATAGAAATATACTGACAAAAACAGCCCTATTGGAAACATTTGGACTTACTTTGGCCAAAGCATATCCAAAGAGTGATCAAGCCGAAAACAGCGGTAACTTTAAAGGAAACTCCGCTCTATCTATTAGTCTTATATAGCTTGACTTATTATTATATTTGCAGATATATCCGTGCCGTTATGACTAGTATGCACGTTGAGAACCTTAAATTAGACAGTGAGATTCGACCTGTAGTATCATTATTTGTACGACTTGTATTTCTTCCTGGTAAATGATGCCGACTATACACGAAGTATCGATTTCACCTGAACCGGATGTACAAACTATGTCCTTAAGATACAGCCTCCGTCATTTCCTTCACATTTTGTATCGAGGATATTTAATTGTAAACCGGCCCGTTTTTCCGTTGTTCTTACCATATTTTTTTAGACCTAATATAACATGGAGTGCTTTTAGTTCTCTGTACTTAAGATGCATTAGCTTTAGCCTTTATTACATGAAAGCGCTCGGCATGTATGACTAAATTAGACTATAGATAATGCTTGGCATGTTGGACCCATAATCATTTGCGATTTTTCATCCCATCCTAATCTTTCTTTTGCCGTTGCGATACAGCCGAGTTGGCACCATATTTCAGTAACGTACTCGCCTACTTCCATTAATTTATGTCATTGCTATTTCGGGCCTGCCTACACCATACGCGCGATAATAGCATTTTGTTCTTACGGCGATGCTTCAAGGTGTCGCCGTTGTTCCTGTAGCTTAGACGATTTTTTTTTTACTTCAGTTTCGCTATGATTCTACTTTTCTCTTCCAGCGATTTTCACTATACTCAACTGCTACTGCTGGTAGAGTACCAGGGTGGTGATGCCCCTTCCGCAACTATTATTTGACTTGCCCCCTCTCCCTCCCCCCGAAAACGCCAGCTCTTTTTTACAATTATTTTGTCCCCCGAAAGCAGAAATATCAGACTGAACAATCGTTGGTCGGTCGGTCGGTCGGTCGGTTTCTAGCCTCTTTGGTTGGACTGACAGCGGTCGCTGTTTCTCCTCGTTCCGTTTGCCCAATAAAACATTATCGCCCCAAGCTACGCCACACCACACGATTAGGTACAGTGTATCATCGCGCAGGACAAAGCAGTGCTTTCCCAAATCACAGCGGTAGCAGTCGTACGATAAATACGTGGTTGGTCGTTGAGACAATGTGTCTGCTGCTCCGCTCGAGCGTCACGCGATGGCAAACACGAGCCATTGGCAAACGCCACAGCCGCTGAATTCGGCATCGTCTTCACTGTGGCTATTATTGACGTCGTCATCCTCGTCAACGACTATAGAAAGACCTTTGCCACTGCCGTAATATTAACAATGGCTAAAGCAGCGACCGCAGCCGTCTAAGCGTCATGCGCTCGTTCGCCTATTGAGCGTAGCGATGCGAGTGGCGATAGGATGACTTCTCTGTAGAAGCCGCCTGTAATTAAGTGATGAATCGAACACGAATTCACTATCTTTACAATTTTCTTCCGCGAACGACTGCAGAAGCAAGCGGAGCAATATCAACGAGACCAGGAGCGTACAGCAACAAAAATACCGCCGCCGCCCTGTAGCGACCGGGAATTTTCTATCTCTTAACCATCATTACGTTCTCGAGGTATCGCGTATCTCGAGGCCTACGTCCATCTAAAAATGGCACAGCCTATCGATTGGTCAGCCAACCGGTCAACTACTGTAGGACGCAAAGGCCGAAGCTTCGAAAAGGAAACGTCACTCTCTGTCAACGATCGATCGTGGTATAGTGCTACTGTTCCTATCGGCATTACAATTGCTTCTTGTTTTTGTCCTAGTATGGAAGATGCGATCAGCATTGTACAGCAGGGTAAAAGGAGTAAGGGCTAGGGGGCTAGAAAGAATAACTGTTTCGTTTCTATCCATCTGATCATACAATAATTGTCCTTCTAACGGTGATTGTCACCACTGCCGAGTCGCCTTGCTACTGTCAGGCTTTATCGCTGTCTGCCGATTCGCGCTGTTGCGGGAAGTTCCTGTTGAGGGAGCTGGCCCTGGAGGAATCGCCTACCGTCAAAACGATAATAATTTGTCGCCACATAACGGTCAAAAGAGACAGCGTCGGCTACAGAGATTATCATCAGAGCGTATCGTCATATATGTAACACATCGAATAGCCATCATCCTGTAATATTAAAACAAAACGAAGCTGGACCAAGCCAGGGTTGCATTTCGTCACAATCATGCTCGTTCGGCAGGCTATGTGTACCGTTTACGGAAACCTGCACTTATTTTCCTTGTTATTTTACTCATTGGAATACAAAGTTCAACGAGCTGAAGACTGCAGCAACTGAATTGCAAACGCAGAAACAAGCCATGATACAATAAAGTGATCATTTGCAGTGTCATAGTCGATGAGGCGATGTGCTTTGTGAAGTGCAACGGACATGTCAACTCACCGGAAGGCGCGCATAGGCGTCAACTGTGAGTTGTAATGATGGCCAACCAAGGCTGCTTGTATATTTTGAGTGCTATAGCAGGTAAAAACTTGAATTTTTCTTGCCATGCACGTGATAGCCAGCATCTGCTGGAGTAGTTCAGTGTACCTTTTCATCACTGATCAACAACGGACGATGGTAATATTGAAAGCACGATTGAAAGATAGAATTTAGCTTTTTTTTTTCTAAAGTAAGTTAACATTCTGACTTAGGTACCACACGCGTGGTTCTATGGATCCCACAACTACTTAATGGGACCCTGCACAGCGGAAAGTTTCGAGTTTTACGCCCGGCATCCCCGTTAGGCATTCCAGCAGATACACAGAGGGCTGATAAATTGATTATCCACTAAACTGTCACGGGAACAGACACCGAAAAACGCATCGTTCCGAAAGAGTACTATTTCGGCGTAAATCACACGAACGATAGACGTGTGCTCTTTGCTCATTAGTTAACTGTTAAATAGATTGTATGATTAATACGACACGCGTTGACGTAGCCAGAAACTGCTAACGTATTTACCTAAAGCGTAGTTACGTACCTTCGAGGTGAAGAACGCCAAGACGCAGATTAAGTGAACCCCGATGTAGAGCTGCATCTTCTAGTCGTTCAGTCTGTAATTGAAAATCAAAGGCCAACCAGTAAGGCTTTTTTGGTCAAAAAAATTCGTGCTGATTACTCAAATCCAATAGGAGGATAGACGAAAACAGTTTGGGATAGAAATAGTACATTCTTTACTTGGACGAATTGTCTACTGTTTATGAATCGTGGGCGAAACTCGAAGTAGCCTTATATAGCAGACTCTTTCGGAAGTAGTATATTAGCCGTCTAACCACCGCGTCGACAAATTGGGACAGGAAGCTGACAGACAGGTCACCGAGATTGCAGTTTGTCCTTAGAAAAGACGTTAAGTTAGTAAAGCTCCATAGACGACAAGCTTTGGGAAAAATTAAGTAAGAGCAAAATAGGAGCAACTAATTACCAATTATCGAGTGATACAATTTGTTTGATCAAACCGTTACGAAGTGTCAGCAACCGTCAAACAGTTGGTAACGGATCAACCGAAGAACATGTAACTATTCAGCTATATGCAGAAGTCAATAACAAATTCTGCAGTGAAAAAAAAGAACCGTCTTTCGGGATTTGTTAGAAACGTTCCACGGAACAAAAATCCGACAAGATGTAGTTCTCTTAAGGAATGTCTACGTGTTGTCTTTCAATGTTTTTAATAGAATATTAGTTAGTTTTTTATTTTTATTTACAAACTTTGTTGTCTTTTCAAGTTGGCCAAATTGACAGCGTAAATTTGGCTCTGTCCTTATTGTTGTTTCCACAGTCTCAGTTGTCGATATCTTTATTAGGTTCCTGCTCGTTTGGCATCATACACAGACGAGGCAGTCCATGTTAACTACTTCGTAACTTTTTTGTGATTCTCATTCTCCATTGTTGACAAGTTCATGTCGCTTTGTGACATGGTATCTTAGCTTTTGTTATTTGTATTGTGTTGACAAATTGACAGGATCCCTCCACGACTGCGCTGACTTTCTATCTGTGACTAAATAGAGTGGCTTTACATATCTGAGCCAGGCGGACTGTGGCGCGTGCCCTCATCATAACGGACTAAGTGTGCCTTAGTATACAAGAGTATCACGAAATATGAACTAGGCATTCGATAGTATTGGCTACGTTAACGGAACACGACGAACATATTGAAACAATTACCCGTCAATTTTGATATTAAAATACGCAGCGGATAATGGTGTTGCAACCTTGCTAACCCCCACATAGGACGATCAGCTCGTAACCCCGGAGTAATCGTACAAACAGAATACTAGAACTAACAGATTCAAGGGTTTATTGAGACGCGCTCAAACGCACCGATAACGACAACCAAAGCGAAAACCTCTCAACCGAAACAATTGTAGTATAATCAATAAATCATCATCCATACCAGCCGCAGACGCGCTTAACCAAAATCTAGTGTTTTAGGCCTCGCGAGAGCCGAACAACTATACAAATAATGATAAGGAATCAACAATAATATCGTCGCTTGGTCTGTCCGCTTTTGAACCGATCTGAACCGGGAAACTGGGATTGGTAGGTACGCTGCCGGACGCGTAGATGAACGTGCAGACGACCCAGCGATTGCGTGTGCGACGCTGTTATCGGAATGCCATCAGCGGCAAATTCTCAGCTACCTGATACGGCCGATCAAGCTTCTCAAACTGACCGCGACGGTCGTGGCTGCAGCAACGGCTCCCTCAGATGCATTTACGCCACAGAAAATGCAACAACAATAACGGTAGCAATAGCAGCAGGGAATGCAGATACGCAAATAAGTGTAACGCCGCAGGACAGAGGGAGACCGGAAACCGGAAAGTGTAGAAACACGGTAACGAAGTACTACAGCGCGATATGAAGTAGAGAACGGTGGGTAGGAAAAAAACAAGCTACAACAAACTGATCTCCGTTCGTTGTTGTTAACTGGCAAACGGAAAAATCATTGGAAGTGGAAGAGGCAATCGACGCGGACATTCGGCACGGTGATTGCACACCGGCAGCAAAAGGTTGCATCGATCGATATATAGGCGTACAATGCATAATATATAACAGGTCGATGTATACGAAATATAAATTAATGTTCTTAGAGAGAGAGAGAGAGAGAGAGAGAGAGAGTTATGTATATTTCCCTCCATTGATTAGGTAGAACCAGTAGTACTGGCACACACTGATGATGTTGCTGCTATTCTGCAGGGGCCGTGGTAGTGGCAACGGCGGTGGCGATGCCAGAGTGAAGGAAGGCGATCGTACTGCTATTGTCACGGTTTTGATGATGACGGTAGTTGATATGATTACTACTGAAAGGGATGAAGGGCTGGATTAGAGAGCGGAACAAGACAACAAAAAGAAATCATCGCTACTGCTGCCACAGTGATTGATGCTGTCGTTAGAGAGGATTTAGTCAACATAGAGTAAGAGATCAATCGAAAAATCTGTCTCTCCAACCGAAAAGAAAGTAACAGTACGCAATATTAAGGGGGAGAATAGAAGGAAAATCAATCGAAGAACCACCAGAAAGACAGTCATAAAGGCAAGCCGAGAATAACATCAATACCAACCATACTGCGCGTAAATAGCGTGCTAAGTACGACTCATTATGTACAATTACTGAGTTGAGAACGGCCGGGAGCCGCATCGTTGCTTGTTACCATCGTCGGTATGATATACGCCGACCACATGCGTTTGATTATGAAGGAAGTCATCATCTTTTTGTTTGACGATTGCCCCCCGATGTACAGCCAGTTAGCGACCCCATTTTCATTAATATACCCTTAGACATGTTGCATCCGTATACTTCACATAGAATAGCGCATTAGTACTATACTAGGGAATAAAAGCTAACCTGATAGCAACACGAAATTGCTCTCGATTATACGGTTTCATCTTGTATGTCTCGAGCTTTAAGTCCGGGCCTTCCATCAGACAGACGGCTGACTGGTTCCCAGCTCGAAAAGAAGTGTGTCTCTGCTGGGGTTCGAGGCCACAACGCGTCTCTAGTTACTTTTAACTACCCACTAAGCTATCACGGACGTTAGCAAGGTCAAACTTTGCTATTTGAAGCTGGGAAGGGGATAGGGGCAAGCACGTTTTTTCTCAGCAAGAAATCCAGATAAAAGATAACGGCGGATAACAGGACAATATTGACGACGAATATTCGATTCGCTAACATTGTTACCTTCGACTGGGCATAGTTTCATCATTGACCCTATCCAAGTTAAACATAAAGGGTAGCTTATATGCATCTCGCTCGTCTCGACCACTGCTGTTTGCGAGTAACGGTGTAGTGGCAAAAGTAGTTAAGGCAGAGACAGTTCTCGTCGCCGTGGCCATTTTGCGAACACCGCAAATGTACCAACTGAGTCGAAGACTACGAGCCGTCAGCAGGCATGGCTTCAGACTACGGCTGGCCACGGCTATTTGTACTCGTTGTTAATTTATTCCTCACTAGTTACGTAAACTACTCCTTTGAACTCATCCCTTCTATCTTTTCCTATTCGAAAACTGTGCTGTTCACGAGCAGAATTCCTCAACCAGGCCGGTCGGGGCGGTCGATGGTCGACGACAAAGATAATGGCTACACACAACCAAGCAATCTCTAACCATTCAAAGCTTTTGCATCATGAAGCTTCTACTTTACGTTGCTCCTATTGCCCCAATAGCAGCAATACTACCATCAGTTTCCATAATCATGACTCAGGATACCCTGTTGCTTGCTTCATTCAATCAGGAGCTAATGAGATAACGGGCGAACCACAAACGGTCTTACCCCGTATGCTCCTACTAGGACTCTTGTTGTCTTACCATAACTACACGCTCTAGTGTGAGCCAATACGTGTACTGTTGGTGGCACGCGTAGATTAACCTATTATTATTATACTTGTTTGATCTTATTCGGAAGAAGAAGAACCGTTTAGGGAAGTAACCTAAACTAAACGAAGATCAAACAAGCAAGAGACACCGTACGAACGAGCAGCACGAAACCAAGTGATTATGCCGAGCAACGCATGGAAACTATGTGCGGTTGCGAAATCTCGGCGATCGGACGTTGCTGCATTATGTTGAAGGAACTCTTGTTGTAGTTTTCGTCGAGTCGCTGCGTACTGATGATTTGGCCGCGCGCGCGCGTTTTGCCTTCCGTCTCAATGGCTCTGGTCCTGGCAGCGGCCGATGAATAAAAAGGCGAAAGCGGTAGTAGCGAAATCGTCATCAATTTGATATTATAGAGTATAAATCATAGTATTCGAACTCAAATAAGAAAATGACCAATTGAACAGAGGCAAAATTTTCAGAAAGAAGAAAACAGTAACGTCGAAAATGTTTTTATCCATATCACATTACCACTACCGAAAGCGTTGTCATCGCTTCGGTTGTTCCTGTACTTCGAAGCTCTGAAAAGTAGGGATCTTTCTTCTGAATTCATCACTGCACTACGGCAGCAGTATCCTTCGGGGCCAACTGAAACCGTAAATTATCAGTGCTATCTCTTGGAAGGGCCCAAGACGGTGGTTCTCCGTTGCGCCCTTAATGAAGAACATAGTGGATAACCGCGATGAAAAGAGAGCAGCGACTCAAAGGCTGTTATACCCGCAATTTCCCGAACTGCCCGGGTAGTCGTGTAAGTCTTGCTCCCATCCTGCACTACGATATGAGAGCTATTGTCATTGAGGTTTATATTGTATAATTTTAGCGTAACGGTAACCTTAATAGAATGTATGTCCATAGTATTTCATAACTCAGAGCAGTAATTAGGCTTACTGTTAATTTTCTATTGTGCATTAACGATGGAAACAATAATAGGTTTAGAACAACGATCGAAGGTTTACTGCCTTGAACATGGCCTGTGAAAAAACGGCCTTTATACTCGCGGGCTTGAGCTTTTACTTTCCACTTCATACAGCCGACCAAGAAAAAGCCGCTGCGACTATCCTAATGAACAGGATTTCACTTAGCCCAGTATGGACGAAGATGCGTGGTCCATTCATGTCTCAATAGAACTCTAAAAGTCTGCGTATCGCTGGCTTTTGGCTGACCCTTCTTCGACAGGTTTTGTTACCCCTGCAATAACATTGCCAAAAACCCATCAGAATAGGGGGTTCAATAAACACTCGGAGACACCGAGCAGAAGAACGGATTACTATTCTTGGTTGCCTTTTCAGTGGCCTTTCTACTGGACAATAGAAATGTGTCTTCGTTAATATCACCTCTATGTCCTTTTGCTAGTTACTAGTACACCAGCGGCATACTATAGAATAACTAAACATGCCTTCGAAAGGACCACCTTACGAATGAAAGTGATGATCTAAAGATCGAAAACCTTGAATTGATACGGAGTGTTATTGGGGCGGCTTGCGGAGGACGCTAACAGCGGCAAATGTCCGTAACGAAAACAACCAGGTGTAGTCGAACGATTAGAGCCGAATCTCCGCAGAGTACGCATATTAAATGTTAGTAATTCGCGCGCCATTTTGTAAACAGTTGCTGTATATGTCCGATGACAAAGCAACTTCGATGATCGTGTCCTGAAGAAGTGCGACAATCGTCTCCTTGCCGTTTATCATTTGCAACCTCCGCGTGTTGCGATGTCCTGTTGAACGTCACTCATTGACATAGTCCTGCCAGTTCCACCATTGCAATCCTGTACTAGCGCGTACAACTAACTCAGTTACACACGACCGTGGAATCAAAGATTAACAAGAAATAGCGAGTTGCGGCATTAATTGCATTATCAGACGCGAGCCATAGCTCAGCAGACGGTATGCAGTGTATCACCTAAACTACTATATGATGTCCACACTCGCTATGGATAGCGAGACGCACGCATGCGCTGAGTCGACACACATATAGAGAAGCTACGATTTTCCTGCAAGAAGTAAATGTCAAGACTTGGCCAAAAAAGGCACTTACAGCACTTCCGAAGTTACGGGGGATGAGCGGAGGTAAGCTCTTAAGGAAAAACAGACACTAAATTGAAAGCAATCTCTGAAGAACGTTTGACATTAGTTGAGCTGAGTAATAATCGCACCGCCAACGATAAGCTACTATTGATACTGCCGTCGGCTGAACGACGCAGTAAGCGCACGCTGATAGTCTCGCTCATAGGCAACCATGCCCATTTCAACAATTTTCACCCACTACGGCGGTTAATGAAATAAACTAAGGATTATCATAGGCCAGAAAGTTTCCAGAGCTACCAGAGTATATCGGTGGCACGTATGTAAAGGGCTGTCAACGGAGTGACACCAGCTGTGATTGTGATTCTTGATCAACAAACGTTTAAACGGTTCTTCGATACGCTAGTACTTTCTCTAGCACAATTGAACACATTCACCATTGCCGCATCTGTTTCGAAACCGTTTGAAGTCCTCTACCGCTGGTAAGCGTGACGTACTTTTGCATGCGTCTAATTGTTTTTTAGATTTCGAGTACGGTCACCGCTTCTACTTCTGCTTCTGCTTCGCCTGTATTGTCGTTGGTTAACTATAGAGCACTGGCGGGCAATTAATTTCGAATGAAAGAACGTTTTGGCTGGGTGTAAACGTGAAGGAGACTTCTTTCGGGGGTAACCATGCACTGCCACTACTTATGCTGCTACGTACTAAACATACGAAGTTACCAGAGACACTACTACAGATAATAGGGTAGCTCATTTTTTAGAAAATGGAAAATTTATCAGAAAACATGTGATAAGGCGTGCTCTACATAGCGGCGCGTTAGCGCACCCCGTTTTAGCTAAACATTATACACATATTAATGTGCGATAGACGATTACAGTCTTCTAAAGTATCATCGTCATCACGATTCCTTTCAAAGCAGCAGCAGCAGCAGCAGCAGCAGCAGTAGCAGCAGCAGCAGCAATAGCAGCAGCAGCAGCAGCAGCAGCAGCAGCAGCAGTAGCAGCAGCAGCAGCAGCAGCAGCAGCAGTAGCAGCAGCAATAGCAGCAGCAATAGCAGCAGCAGCAGCAGCAGCAGCAGCAGCAGCAGTAGCAGCAGCAGCAGCAGCAGCAGCAGTAGCAGTAGCAGCAGCAGCAGCAGGTTACGATATGGTCACACGAAAAAGAACGCGTTGGGGAAGGTCTGGGAGAGAGGATGTTGGCCTCTGTTTACCTTTTTTTTCGCGACGGCAGCCAGAGCAGCTGCACGATCTGCAATAGTGAGAATCAGGGACGCATAATATGGTTAGCGCGGTCTGGTCCGTTAGCGAATTAGCAAGTGCCGTTATGATAAAATGTCATCGAAGACAAAAGAGTTCGTAAGTGCCGTTCTGAAACGTGCGCAGGTGATTAGGAGTCTGAGACTGAAAGCATAGCATCACTGCAGACCGATCGGAATCTTTTTTACAGCAAGCCTGTGATTTGAATTTTTTTTTTCATGATAATACATTCATGTCGTCCATCTTATTTGCCTGTGCTCATAATTAGCATTATTATTCGGTCTTTTTTTGTCATCGAGCAATCGGTGTACACAGGTAACGAGACAAGCTTCAGTTTCAGCCAACTGAAAGACTCAGTAATGCTCTTTGTTGAAAAAGCGTGACCTGGCCAGCTATAAACATCTCACATACCCGTTTTTGTCGATTGTTTTTATTAAATTGTGCGATCTTATATAAGACAGGAAAAGTGTCGGAGAAATGCTGGGCTGGTTAAACAAATCTGTTCCGCATCATGTGCCCTATTGAGGCTTCACAGTTGCTCGTACGTAGGCACGAATCTATTCGTCATTGGAACAGGATGGACGAAAGCAGCGCTTCGCTCATTCGTAGCTGGTATGCATAGATGCATACTGGGCTTTCCTCTTGTAATGGCGAAATGACAATTAATAGGCAGGCCAACGCCAAGGCACGATACAATAAGCACTGAGGTCCTGCTAGTACGTTTTGTTCAGACCTGCCGTAATGTGAAACAGAGTCATTCTGGGACAGTACACACAGTGCATATATATGTCGAACGTCAAATAGAATTGAGCGTTCAGAGCTACGTTCCTACGAATGCTTACACTGCGAACTCTAGAGATTTTAGCCGGCAATATGAACCCCGCTATTGTCGGCAACCGCTTGCCTTGCATAGTTATTATATATACATATAAGAGTATGTGCGGGTTCTAGTTTCCGTATCAGCCGTTACTTATCAGTTAACGTTCGACGACGCTGTTTTCTTGGAACCAGTCCGTTCAAACTTCACCTATAATCAGTTAGAGAATCTTGAAATTGCTCCTCAATAGCGTCGACGCAAACTTTTACTTCAGTGAACGGACTCAGTGAGCTCGCAACAAGACCCTACGAAGACATAGGAAATCGCTGATTTTACCGATAATGCTTTGTGCCGTATATTCTTTACACCAGCTACTGTATTCGTCCAATCAAGCAAAAAAGATGCGGTTATATATAGATGTATGAAGAAGTGAAGTACGATAGTTCGACCCGTGAGAGAAAGCTATAGATAGAACAGGCGTTTGCATGCAAGTACTCTAATTAAAGATGCCATGAGTAAGTTAAGAGGGTTCAAAGGGTTTGAAGACGGCTTGTATCATCGCTAATCGTCCTATCTATCGCTACTTACCCTCGTATACATATAATGTCTCTGATGACGTCTATGTTCTGCTAATTGTTAATTTGCCCGTATGGCTCACGCTTGAGGTGGAAGTAACAACGGCATAGGGTACACCAGCGCCACATATCATTCGCTACGTGTGTACAGACTATTTCTATAATTAGTTGTATATCAGAATGACCCTACTCTTAATCTGTTTAAGCAGCTCGACTAGAATGCTCACTCAGCGTACGCCCGTGTTTGATTCTTCCACGAAGAAAGTAACGGTCGATTTGAAATTATGAACAGATTTTTTCGCGTCTTGTCGTACGGGCCGAACTACGCCGTCCGCGTGGGTTCCTTCTCAGATAGGTAGATACAAAAAAAAAGATCCAGATACAAAATTGTTACCGAAAAGTAATTATTATCATTCCACTTCGCTACGCCGCTGGCCGTGATTAGTGGCGTACTGATCAATGAGCGTTTGAGTACGGTTCTACGTCGTAAGCACGTTAGACTATCATCAGGAGTACAGACAATATCACTAGGTAATAGAAATATTTTAGTATGTACATAGCTATTTGAGAAACGTTTGTTTGCTGGAAAGCTCGCGTTGTTTTATCTGTTCTTTTAATCAGATTGAAACTCGCGCCGAAGATTAGTTCAAGTTCTGGATATTAACTTCCATCGCTACCTTGTTGTCGAATTATCAAGACCAAAGCAGCCATTTTGTAGACAATGTCCGTCCGTCTACACCTCCATTATTAAGCTGCAGCCGCAGTTGACCACCAACTATATATAATCGTAATTCAATGCAAACAGATGATCTTCCTGCCATTTGACGGTCAGAATAAGGTTTTCGGCAACAGCACATGTGCGCGCGTACATGGCGTAGCCTGAACCTTGGCCAGTTTTCTTCTTTGTAAAAAAAAATAGGCTCTTCCCGATTAGTCCAGGCACTCTATGCAATCTAATCAAGCAAATACGTTTTCCCTGCTGCAATACTCTACTTAGCAAGCTTTTGCAGTGTAAAATGTTTCGAATTTTTACACGCGGTATTGTGGTTGTTTAAGACAAATATTCTGTCGCTTCTTGAAGCGTTCACTGGCTATCGGCTGCTCTTCGACGTCACTCCTACGCCATCAGTCCTCGGCGAGTCTTCATTAAGTAGTCGAGTAACGACGCTGACTCCAAACGTTGAAAAGTGGAACTGTTTCTTGTTCAATGCGCCGTATATTTGCGTTTCGGCTGTGGCCGCTGTATCGTTCTCTCCCACACCAGCCTCTCCAGCTTTCTCAGCATATCCATTTGGATACATACATAGAGAAAGAGAGAGGATAGAAGGATGCGGGAATCTATTTGTGTTTGTTGTCAAAGCTATGCGAAAAACTGGGTCTGTGTGTGCAGGTATTCTGAACGGCGTAATTTTTGTGTTACAGACTGAAATAAATTCTCGCCTCCAATTGACGTCGATTATTTCATCGCCGATGACCCGTGCAGTCTAGCGTAGATACGACCGCTGATAGCACCGGTAACAACGATGCTGTCTAGCTTTCCGACGCTTCAGACGAGCGGTTTCAACTTAAGTAAGTTTTGCTTTTACATGTATCTGTTCGTCCACATAAATTTTGATATGCTAAAAAGGCTTGTACGAGGCTCAGCACCAGGGGCCGTTACCACCGTTATCTCTTGCTGCTGATGCTTGCAACATATTAGCTTGGATTCCTTAATATCCAGTTCCAGCTATTTCTTCCCGAGCCTTTTCTCAATCTGTCGGTAGTATACGAGAACTTCTTCAAACAGAAGTTAGCCACGGTTGCCGTTGATCTTAAAACTCAAACCTGATGTTGATTTGTTACAGCTGTACTGTGTTTTTATGTTAATTTTCTATTAATTTCCGTTTGCCTATTTCACGCAGCTATTCAGCTTTCAGGCTCAGCCTCGGTGTTACGTCACACCATCCGACGAAAATGTCTCTAACAGCAGGAAACAGAAGGAGAAGTTTCTAATAGAAAAACAGCAGGAAAGCTTACGATCAGCATTCAACGACAGTCGAAGCAATACCAGCAACGAGTGGCTAAAAGCACTCGGCGTACGAAAAAAGGCAAACCCCATGAAAGCGGTGGCAACATGCAAGACCGACAATTGCTGGACGAAATCATGCAGACTCGTTTTACTGCGTCTGTTCATGCAGATGCTACCTATAAATTTCAAGAGGCTTATCGTTCTTTCTTCGTCTTAACTGTTCTAATCTATGCAGCTTTATTGTCGCTGAATGAACTTTAAGGAATGCTGTGGCTACCTGACGATTTTGCGCCATCATGTGACAGCAGCACGCCAGCAGGACGGTTACAGCCTCTTGAAGTACCCTAGGACAAAGAAACCTAAAAATTTTGCAGCGGCCGTTGGCCATTGATAAACGTTTGTTGTTTGATTGATATGACATTAACATGTAGAGCGTGCATTTAGGTTCCACTGCAGCTCTACTTTAATCTAAATTATAATAAAACATTGAGTAGAAACTAATTGAATGACCAGAATCTTTTCTGCCGCCGATTCGATTTAGGATACTTAGGATTTAGGATAGGTTGTTGTGGTTTACATCCATGCTTTTTAGGTCACTTCGGTTATTTATGGTGGGGGCACATGATTTTTATCGGATTTTTACTTATGACAAAACGACAACAGGTGGAAAAGTTGAAATCTACATAATCGTTCAGAAATCTTTTTTGATGTTGGCCACGGCTACGTGGACCTAAGGTGTTAGGGATGACGGCTGGTAGCTGATTGTTGATTTTACAGGTGTTTAATCACCGTACCTCGCCTCGATTAGATGAATGATTGATCATTTACACTTTAAAATGAAATTCCCGTTGTTATCACCGTCTCTGACGATAGTCGTCGAGTCAGATTTGGCAAAATATATAGGCAAACCAAATTCATTTTACATGGATGCGTCGACAATATTGAAATTAGGTGGGTAACATCTGTGGTGACAGAAGTGATCAAGCGAACAAGCACTTTTTCTTTTTCCCCTGTTACTCTATGCACGGTTCGATAAATGGTTTGGAAATTATTGAACGAGGCGTCATGCACGTGCTCGATGTGCACGATTTCAGCCAGCTATTCCATCAGCTAACGTATACGTACGTAGTGAATTTGTATATCTGTTTGACGTCGACAGGGAACAGAACACTGAAATGAAAAAGGTTTGTTCTGAGAGGACGCTCGAACACACTACCTGCTTCACGCTTGCGGTGACAGCGTCCACCGGTCCGTGACGAACTGGGAAGACGACGTCTGAGACTTCAAGGCCCCCGGACTGAAACGATAAAAGGGCGAAAACTTCTGTCCTGCTCAACAGAAGCAGCCGCAGCAATGACCATTATAGAAGAAGAATTCCAACAAAAGTGAAATAGCCACCGTCGTCAATCATAGCGACACCGACAGGAGCGGCTTATGCTTCACAGTGATCGGCCATGCCCACATGGTCGTGATGGTGGTCATACAAACTATAGACAAACGAAAGTTCAATCAAAGGAAAGCCATGTCAAGCGGAGCCGAATGAAGACTTCGAGGCGGAAGTAATGATTCACAGGGAAAAAGAAATAAAAAATTAATCAAAATTGCCAAGAACGTTTCATCGTAACAGTGCAGACAACGCAATACAAGGGACTACCAATTGATAATAATAATTGGTAATATGACTGAACAACCCAGGAAAGCTATTAAGTAGGCGGGATCAGTTTTGGCCTTACAACTTTAATCTTGCTGCAAATAACGAAGATGCTTAAATGGAGTCCTTTTTCCTTAACTTCCCGGTGCCTATTGCTAATCAAGCGTCAAGAGCACCAAGAGACCGCCGAGCGAGTGCCATCGAAATGGATGGACTAGAATATCAATTCATGGCCTAAAGAAGCACTAAATGGGGGAACACATGTATATATGAAGCAGCGAATTTTCAAAAGCGATTTTTTTCTAAGCGAGTGTACTAATAGGCGTATTATGAAGTCGTCGTACGATGTTCGTGATACTTGTTGCCATAGGAGAAAAGGATACTGACTCCTACAGACTCTTATTGTATTTTTCTTCACTTTTCTTTTTGCAGTGTATTATAATATGATTCCTTCGTGTTACTATATATATATATATATATATATATATATATATAGTTGTCTTGTTTGCTAAATTGGAACGTGCTCGTTTTCTTTCCTTTCATGGAATTCATTTGCTCATGTAGGGGGTTGTAGCCGCTGCTCCGTTTTTAAGGTAGTTATACATCCAAAAACACCTTCCACTCCTTGGGCCATTTTCCGCGTTAAGCTATTATATATTCATGTTTGTACTTATGATAATTATTGTAGCTTTAATCAGCATCGTCGTCACCGTCAACAGTATGGACTGCACCATTATCAACATCCATTCAGAGCAAGAAGTATCCATTCTATTGTGTTGTCGTAGGCAAATCATTGGTCGTTTTTACAGTCATCAATACAGCTAAAAGTAAACGAAGATAAAGAAAACAGACCAAGGATCATCGACCGCCCGGTCGCTTGCCTGCCATTACCCCTACCCATTTATTCTAGTCTAGCGACGATGACACTTCGACGCTAACAGGTAGACGGAGAAACGTCCTTGCGCCCCGTATCTTTCCACCTCCTCTCCAGTAGCAGCCGTCTCACCGGAAGCAGCCACTGCTCCATGGTTGTCTGTGTGGGTGGACAAATTTGATTGGGCAGTCGCCCTCTCCGTCTCACCTAGCAGCCGTCACTGCATCGCATCTTTGGTAGCGGCTACGGAGATGGTGGCGGAGTCAGCCACCTTCTACGGACGGCGGCTCGCGGTAAGTGCCGTTTGCTGCAACAGTAGTGCACCATCGTGTGTCTTAACGCAGTAGATGCTAGAGGACCGTAGCATCCCGCCAGATCCTGACCCTGTTCATCTCGACTAATCGGTTTGACCAAAAGCTATGCAACTTTAGATATCGCTCAAGGATGATGTCCCACCGACGCGGCCTCTGCATTGCTGTCGATGGACGCCAATGCCGTAACAGGGGCTATTTACCAGGATGACAGGGACGATTCATGCAGATACTACGACTGCCCCTGCTGGTGTTGCGGTTATAATTTGCTGCATTAGTTACCAGAAGGCAAGTGCAAGTATTATGAAAGCGATAAAGCCAGAAAAAGAAGATGATGATGAAGATAATGACGCTCTATAATGATGTTCCACCCCTGCTTACTATTACATAGCGTAATATTATATTTTTAGCAACAAAAATGAAAAAAAAAGTCACCACTAACCCACAAACGATTAGTTTGTAATTGTAGCTTTGACGAGGCGAGCAAATGTGGCGCAAGCAGTTCGATTTTTGCCAAAGCAAAATTCTAAAAGGGAGAAGATCATGTGAGAATACGATAAGTCGAGACTTAAAGAAACTGCAAATCTAAAAGCTGCGGTCGATATCATTTTACGGTACGCAAATTGTAGTGTCAAGCTATGGCGTGTACTGCACTAATACTAAATTTCGTCCTATAAATTTGGTCTTTGGAACTAGTGAAGTTTGCCAACATCGCGACGATATGATGGTATGTAATACGGTATTGGCTCTGTAGTGAACAAAGCCTCGTCTATTTACGGATACAAGGCCGTAAGGCCAACAAGGTCAACCGTATAGAGGGTACGCAATACAGATGTGTTTTCAAAGTTTTCGTTCTTAGAGTTACGAGTTCTGAAAGAAAAACTGCGGTAAAGAGGAATAATGCTTCAAGCTAGCCTTCCATCGTGTGTATAGATTCGCTGTACTTGCTTACTAGTTAAGCAGATATGATCCAAATAAATCTGGTCATTAACAGTGTTCACAGAAATGTAATCCGTTTTTGCCTGTTACGGGCAACTTGCACCTTGAGATGAGACATTTGAGAATCGCGATATTATGTTCCACAAAAAGTTGTAACTACAATTCTAACTATCTTACGTTTATGTATGTATATATATATATATATATATATATATATATGTATATATATCACTTGCTGTTAAAGCAGATTGTTTTCTATATAGTTCATGTTATCTGTAATTATTTTGATTGTTAGATTCATCCACGTGTTCGCTCTAACCATACACACGTACATGTCCACGCTGGTTTGTTATTACAGCACGGAGAACTGCTGAAAAATGTTGCGTAGGAAATTGTAGGCTTGATGATCATCCTTGCTCTTTTGTACGTTTCTTCCACTTGTTACTAAGAGGGGCTCGAGGGGCCTGTTAGGTCACACTTGCCTGTGTTGTGCATATTTCCAATTTTGCTTCTTAATAGTTTTTGCACAGTTACACAAGCTCCGAATATTTTATTGTGTTTCATTCACTTTACAGACATATGTATGCACGTCAATATGTACAATTTTTTTATGAGGTTCCATAACCTAATTCGGTTCCTAGAGCAAAACACTTCTGTGAACTAACACACAAACATAGCATAGCGAGGAAGCTTTCTCGAAGCAATACTTCATAAACCCAATACTTTTATAGTATTCAGCCTTTTAATATGTTTTTACTTGGGTTATTTGCTTTTCCGGCATCTTCTAAAGCGAACGCTTTTAAGTGCAGCATTTCTTTTAAACGCAAACGAGCTATTAACGCAGCCCAGTTTTTTCGCCGTTTCAGCTTCGCTGTTCACTGGTCGAATGCGTCAACAAATACTCTTAACCCAGATGACCACTAAGTGGATGATAACGTTTCCCAATTCTTTGCAGCGACCCGCCAGTGCCCGTTTCTGTTTGTACAATGTCTGTCACAGCTCCGTGTGACAGACACGTCATTGACATGATATTGTCACATGAGTGAGCGAACGAGAAGAATGATCACCTGGGAATTGTTTCCCCTTAGTCGTACCACCACATAGACGTCTTTTTACCTATCGCTTCTTTATTCGTGTGAGTGTTAACGAGAGATAATAAACAAAGTATAAGATGGGTGATTTTCGTGCAAGTATGTGTCAAATGTGCATCTATTACCTACACTAGGCAATACTGCTGTCACTTTGAGCGGCGCCGTTCAGAGCTGCTCGCTGACTCGGTTTCGTCAAGACGCTCTATCGTCAGTGAACGAAAGAGAGTACCGCACGCTTCAAAGTAACGGCTACGCGTTTGGGTTGCGACCATTGAAACAACTTAAGAAGAACGCTGGATGAGCCAGCTAGTCAGCCAGTAAGCATCTGTCGCGGTCGTCTACGGCGGTGACGGATTTTCGTTCGTCTCGTCGATCGTTTTGGCCTCCCCACCGAGAGACGTGTGGCCATTCAGCCGTCAGCCCCCGAGAGCCACTGTCACTTCTATTGACTTTGACATAAACGTCACCAGAGGTAGCACCGCTACATGGAACCAAATGCTTCGTGCTGCCGGCCGTGGTTAGAGTTCATCGTCTGCGCAATTATTTGTTAGGACGAATAGAGCGCAGAGAATCGCTATAGAGCGATACGAATCGTTTGTTACCACCATGATCTAATAGCAATACAATTGTCAATAGTAGTAGCTTGTTGTTTTTGCTGACGAAAACAGATGTACTAAGTACCGGTATACCATTGTACTTTCGTTTATGATATTAAAGCGGCAGGGTAAGCTAAGAGTAGAATGAAGATGATGACAGATAGGTAACGATCGCGGTAAACTTGGCCCAGTGTAGTTTTCCAATACAAATAATTAAAGATATCCGATAATATGTATTGCAAATAATAACGCGAAGATACAAGACTGAGACGTCTGAAGGAGAACAGGGCTACAAGGGAAAAATTAGGGTACTGAAAAACCAACCTGCTTTATAAAAAGAGCCGCTTTACTAGCATATTATTAAGAGCGTATGTCTCGATGGCTCCAACGCAACCATTATCAGTCGCACTCAACACTGCTTATTTAATGGACGAATTATTAATTATTGAACGAACAGTAGAGAAGAGTGACAAATACACTTTCATAATTACATATGTAACCCATCATTGTATCAGTTTGAATACGAACTTTTGCTTCTGCAGGGGTAACCGGGACGCAATCTGCAGTTCCATATGCGAGACAACGATCCGCCCATCTTCATAATGAACATTATCAGGTAAACACGATGAAGCTGATATTTTATGTTAGACATTTCGTTCCTGTACAGAAAATGGTAGATAACGGCCATTTCGCCGAACGTCAGTAAACGCTTATCATTCTGAGTGCGTGGTCCACAATCGAGTTTATTGTGTGGGCCGCACTTAGAAACATCAAATAGGAGTTCGGATGATCGATCACTCATAAGTCGCTGAGGTGAGCATTTCTAACTTCAAGTATTAAAAGATATGTAAAGGCATTCACAAGTACTGAAGTGCTCCACTGTTCCCCTTCGAGTATTACGACTGGGCGACTTCAATGGGAGGATAATTGGGCTCCACGGCTTTTGCCACACGCTTATTGTATTAATAGCGATTCACTCATGCTACGAGCAATTGACGAATATATACGATGTAATCATTTTACGGCGGCAAAAACATTACTCGTATGTTTCCAGAGCTATCGTACGTCCTCCAAAACGTGACAGAGTTAAGGGATGTTGCAGCGCCTGCTGTCAAATGTAACTCCTGCGTACTGATAGAGATAATCTTTGAAGGGTCACTAGCAGCTGTTACGAGAGCAGTAAGAATGACACAGATCTTTCAATAAGGTCAACGTGTTAGTGAGTCAAGCTCGACAACAACTCAAATTAACATGAATGTTTGAAGGTGTTAAGGTCGAGGTAGATGGAGAGACTTGCAACGGCTGCGCTGACCAACGACGGCCAGATCGCACTTAGATATCCCAAATTTTACGTCTGATATCGGCATGGAGCACTGCTTTTTCTAGCGCGAAACGAAGTATGTGGCCAGTTTCGAACTTAGAGCACTGTGTGTCTCTAGGTTTAACCAAGAAACCCGTTACCACTGCACCATCACGGGGATGAGATCGGGTTCACCATGCTCACCAAAATGAATATCAAAAACAACTTGGAACAATTTACATTACTATTTGTTTGTTTGGACCACGTCGACAGCCATGCTGTAGCTTAAACAAATGGAATTTGATTTTTTGCAGGCAATCTTGCTATTTACTATACTGCTAGATTCGCACGAGTCCATCGTTGTCAATCCATGCAAAGTCAGACATTGCGCAAAAGGAAACTCAATTAATGTCAAAAAGACATTACCATACCGGCGTCATTTATGTATGCATATAGCTTCTTAGTAAGGCTAAGAATTGATCGCCACCGAAGAGCAAGCAAACGTACTTACAGGGCACGTCGTTCTCGAAGAGATTTTTCCTGGGAAGGAATTACGCCGTTCATAGATTAACACGGGTCTAATTCCGATTCAAGGATTGCCAATTTGGTATGAAAAACCTAACGAACATCAAGCAAATATGGGAACACGTAGAAATTGTTAAAATATCGCAGCTTAGGGACATCAAATCCTGCAAATTGCGGAATAAGCAGCTCGTGTTTAGTGGACGTCTATAGTAGTGACCTTACAATGCTCATTCCACATCAGAGAAGGAAACTTCGTCTCAATATATATCGACGATGCAAAGCACTAAGTGATTATCACGAAGTTTTTTAGCTCAGGCCCATCATTATATCAACACTTGGAAACACGTTCTGAATCGCGCGCTAATCCTTCTCTATTTCGGCTTTATTAACGCAGTGATACACTGCAAATTCCGACCAATTAGTAGCACGTAACTGGTAGGCTCGTAATGTAGGCTCCTCGTATCGTCGTAGGGTGACGAAACGTCAAGAGCGCATTAGTACGGCAGACAAAGGGCGCAAATGAAGTATCCCATTGGTGAGAACTTCCACTTTTATCTCCCCATATACATATTCACACATTTACACTGATGGAATTAAGCATCTCGTTGTCGGCAGCCGATGCTTTAGGAATTCAACCAACAACTGACGTTTTGCAAATCAAAATAAGTAAGTGCATCCTTGGTGACGATGCCTGAACAGCTCATCACACCTAATGATATTCGTGGCGCCTTCAGCCAGGCTCCCATACCTGTGCTGTGGAACTGGAGTATATCCGTAGAACGAAGGCTTTCCAGTAGGACGAAAAAATCCTTAAGGCACTTAATCACTTTCACTGTAATTTCGTTTGCAGTTAATAATCTTTAAATTCAAAAAGAAGAAAAAGTGCTCCTTGCTGTTAATTTTCAGAGAGTCAATCCAGATCCCGCGTGATCGATCAGACTCGATCCGATCTACGGCCACGTCCAGAGGATCGATACAGCTACACAAGTGTCCGTCTGTTTGCACAACTCCCGCACAACAGTTCCAGATCGTGCACCACTTTAAAGCTTTCCAGGCGGTTTTTTCTATTGCTTCGGCTTCCTACGTGCTTTTCCTACGTTCACTGACCGCGATCTAAACCTTGTCAGGCCCAGCGTCTACTTTTCTGTATTGAAAAGCGCTCGTGTACCGTTAGCAACGCAAGTTATGAAAGCGGTAACCAAAGCGCCTTACCCAAAATCTACCGTGAGCCGTCGGAGAGAGTGATCGACGTCAAAGGGGATGCTACGCCGAACTAACTCCCCGCAGAAGCAGCGGCGGTAGGGCAGCACCGAGCTTTCGCTAGCGTAGCAGTCCCTTCGACAGCGAAAGCAGTGCCGTTGCGCGGCCGCTATTACCGTTGTCGATACAGGCGGTGGCTGTCGCGAGTGGAGAGAGTAGTTCGCCGTCAGTAGATGAAGGTGGAGCACAATCCGGCAAAGGCGCAATCAAAAGCGAAAGCCATTCCGCAGCAGCTGCTATTGAAGAACAATGTTGAAAGGCAAAATGGGACTAAAGAATGTAGCCATCTTCAGAGTGGACTTCAGAGAAGGGTGGATGAAGACCCGTTGGACCGCTGCTGGCTCTATCGTCGACGTCTTGGCGCTTTTGGTGACGGACAAAAGGTCAACGCAGTGATATCGCTGACATAGCGACGTGCGCGAGTGGAAACAGCTGGCCACGTCAATTAGCGAAGAGTACTAGTGGTATTCTCTTTGTTTTCTTTTTTTTTTTTTTTGCTTCAGAAACAAGCTTTAAAAACCACCATGATTGACGAAGTGATAATTTGTTCATTATTCATTGGTACAGTGATATCCTACAGATTCAAAGGGAGAAGGCGGAATAGAGGTCTAGTCTTGAATATTGAATGCCACGATGATTATGAACGTTTGGGCTATGCTGAAGTGGGTGAACGGTCGCCAAGCGATGTGTATCCATCGATTCGTTCCTCAGTAGCGTATGACTGAACGCGCCGATAACATAACGCAACTCTTATAACATATAGCAGCACAAATTTGAAAGTGGAATAGATAGGTAAGGTTAGGGTTAGGGTTTAGACGCGCGTCTGGGCCTTCGGCAGTTCGACGTATTGACAGTTGAAGGACTGCAGAGAGCGCAGGGAAAACGAACCGCTTTTTTTCAACCCAGGCAAAATGGAACTATTATGATCGCTTCTGCCTACCTAATTGGATATTTAAACTTGATGTCAAGCTACTGGTAAATGTCTGTCAAGTGGGGATATGGATATCAATTACGGCGTTTTACTTGTACCGATGGTTTTCGAGAGAAATGACATGATCTGATAACGTCGTTGTAAAAGTTAACAGCTAGAAGTTACTTTTTTTAATGTAATTCATGCAAAATGTACTTTTTTGCAGAGAACTTGACAACACACGTATGTGTTCTGTCACAATTTGAACCTTTTAAGTGATTTCTTTGATGAGGTAACATTTTTGCTGAAACTTGACAGAACCTTATTTTTCACAGTTTTAGTATCTCAGTCTTTACTTTTTTCACCTTCTATATTGTATAATTGTACAATTCAACTGTCTCCGGGATATTTAATGTGCAGGGAAGCTAAAGCTCTAATATTTAACTGGTCGGATTAGTTTTACGTATTGAATATACTCCCAATACGCATTAACGATTTGACGACTTGCACCTTCTATTTTCTTCAAATATGAATTTACCTCGAAGTTATTAATAAGTTATTGCTTCAGTCCGTCACATTTTGCTGCAATGTTCAATGAATTATCGAGTATCTGATTGGTATGAATTTACTGTGTTCCAACAATGCAGATTTGTACCATCAAGACGTAGATATCATACCCACTCTTGTACTAGATATGTATATATATATATTGTACTATATATATAGTACAATATATATATATAAATATATGTATATATATTTCCCTAATAATTACAACACCTTGGGGTTGTTTGAACAGCAACGGCACGCAAATAACAAGAAACTTAGTTTCCATAGATTTTTCTATACAAAACATGGTATTTAATCGCATGCGAACTCTGAAGTCCTCGAAGCGGTACTTGAGCTGGTGGTAACAGTAGCGACGGTGGCAGCCTGGTAGTTCCTGTTTTTCGGCCTGCTGTCTGCTCGGTGTGGTTGCCGTTGTTGCTGTCGTCTTACCAACAATGGACTGACATGGATTCGTATTTCTCGTCTTCGACGCCTTTTCGTCATCTTCACGTGTACTTCGCAACTAAGATGTGGAACGGCGCCTCATTACCGATATTAATGTGTTGTGCTCATTGGCAGTACCGGCAGCCATATAGCCAGACCCACGGAGTTGTAGTAGCTTTGAGCGAGTTGCTTCGGCAACTCGTCGCTTCTGTTTCTGCCTCATCGCTTGTTATTGTACGACGGCCTGCGTCTCTATTGTCCCGATGATGGCGTCCCGACTCGCGGAGCAGCAAATCTTCTTCAGCTACGCCGCCGCCGTTACTCGTACAGCTAATACTTCGGGTGCTCCTGCTCACGACGACGACGATAATAATGATGATGATGAGTATGACTGTGCTGATTATTGTGATGATGATGATGATGGTGGAAAACGCCGGTTCAGCTGCTACTGCACTTTCTGTTGGCATCGCAGGCTTTATAAGAGCTGTCCACTTTAAATTATGAGCAAACATCGGTCCACGTGACAGCTGCTTGATTTCGATAGTGATACATATATGTATCACTATGGCAATATATTAAATGAAGCGGGCTAGTATAGCTTTGTCGTCATCGATTGATAAGCACGAGCGCTTCTTAGCTACCCTCCCTACCCTTATAGCCATAGAGGTGCAGTTATTTATTAATATTTACTTTAATGTTTGCACTTTTGCCAAACCTTGTAAGGGTTTACCAACAAGGTTTACCTTGAACCTTGACGGTCCAAAGTAAACCTTGTTGTTTTTACGGTAACGCTCATAGTGATAACGTCTGTTGACCCTACCCAACAGAGTTGATGCCCATTTTCCAGCGGCGAATCCGTGGGAACTCACGTGGTCTAGCCCATATCTCTTCGCTCGAAAAATAGTATGTCTTCAGTCGGCTTACGATTCTGATTACGTTAAGTTGGCCCTGATAACTGCTCTAAATTACAAAGACCTCAGTTAATTTTGGCAAAGTTTGTCATGATCTCCTCGAATTGGTACGGCTTGCATGAGGGTGAGTCTATGAATGTTCGATCCTTTACGCAAAAGCCGTGTTGCGGCCCACCAAGGACTATATCAGTGCTACTGGAGCCCGCCACTTCTATTGTTCGCGTTTCCGCCGATTCAGGAAGTGGTTGTCAAGCTTCTCCGACATAGAAGTTCGGGTCGCTCAAAACAAATTCAACGTATGATTCATCTTTAGGCTCTGTTAACGAAAGCAACCAATGTCCTGCTTCCTTCTAGCAACACGCTGCATTTGGATTTGATCGCCAATTCATCCAGCAATGTTCCTGTCACCATTCTTCCTCTAACGGGGAAAACTGTTCTGATAACCCAGCCTCCTCTGAAGGAAAACATTTGTACAGCTTGCTCTTGAGAGCTTTCCACGTCTTTTTCCCGATCTTGAAGTGAAACCCAGCCCAACCCGCTACCTGTTGATGTCTACGGGTCCGCTTTACGAGCCAAGTCAATAGCTATTTCCGTTGCTCGGCTAGCCGCTCGAACTGATCAGCTCGTCGCTTGGGTTTTCTCCCGGCATCAGGGAAACTGCCATTCAGCTACCTGTTCGAGCAACTCCTTTGGGATTCCGGTCATATCATGCAAAATAAAGCAAACTGGCTTAGTTTCATCGTTGGCTGCCAAGAACGAACGTTTCACAGATACTAAACGCTTGCTTTTATGGTCATCACTTAATTAGCTCGTATTAGCGTTATTAATTTTACCCTTCTTCAGACTCTCAGAGGTGAAAACCACCATCGTGACAGATTTCCTTGTAAACATACTTTCAGAACCTATCTGTATATGAGAAGCATACTGATCGTAATTGCCTGGCATACATTTTCTGGAAGAAGCAACGTACCGACATTTTGATACAATGTATAATATATCGCACATTTTTCATCCACAGCCTTCGAAATCACCTGTAATTTACTATTTTATCGCTTGATCCCAACGCTTTAACGAATAAATCATTTAAAAGACAACAAAGAATGCTATAATATATATATGAGCCTTGACCTAGAGCGAATGTACAGAGTTATTGGGATGTTGATTTTATTAGTATATAATGAAAGATTACATAATAATGTTGGTTATCGAACCCAGAATTATGCGTCTGGCATGGTGCAATCCGATACTAAGACTTTAAATACGTCGCATTAGATCGTCAGCTGACAGGGCCCATTGGCGTTATAGGACTAGTGCAGGCGTTTTAGCTGCGCTAATTACGAAAATAACAGCAGGCCCAATTCGTTTGACAAAAACAGAAGATATTCAGTTTTTGTCATTTTATCGCTTAGCTATCATTGCATTGCCTTCCTAAAAAATATACGTATATACCTGATAAATTCCGAATACTGTTACAGCCGTTTTGATAGTGAAGACACGTCAAAGCAGCATGTATTAAAAAAGTTCTACATATACACATACATATATATATAAGAAAGTTAATTACCCTTTGAATATGGCAGTATCTGCAAATTCGACCTTAATCCTTGCGGTGCAACCGCTGTCGTCCGCCGCTGGGGATTATCTTTTCACAGAATTAGGTAATAGTATTATAAATGCAGGCGTTTTTATGTATACCATATATCCTGGCCCTGAACAATCTGGGTATTGCAAAAATTACGATACCTGCTAACCGTGCATTACCGTGAGTCGACGCGAATATTTCGTCCAAGTACTACTTACAGGCTTGTATCTTAACTTGTGCACTTATCTACGCATAACTGCTGGTTCTGATGCCGCTACAAATACAAGTCATATAATATGTTAAATATCGGATCTAGTGATCCGTAATTTATGGCCAAAGGATGTTTTGACACACCGTAAGCGGTTCGTTCTAACATTTCGACAAGCAAGCCTTATGCAAAGTCACCTATTAACTTGGGTATGAACAAGGTGTTCATACGCAGGTTACGTAGATGAAGAATACACTTAAACTTGGAATTTTTCGTGAGGCAGTGTCTCAGCAAGTATTTCAAACGGCAGGATTTCGGTCATCGTCATGTTTTGTCCTATTGATTCTATAAAAGCAGTCACTTGTACGGCCCAAGACCAC